TCAGGGTTGCTCCTGGCTCTGCACTCCCAACACTCCTCAGGGACCCTATGGGTGTTGGGGATCGATGCCAGGGATCGAACCTGGCTTAGCCACATGCAAGGCAAGAGCCACACCCGCTGGACTATCTCTCTGGCCCAAATTTTCATGGATTTTTTTTTCAACTTTGTCAATTTGGCTTTATTTAAAAGGTTATGTGGTGGCCACTGCTGGAGCCTGGGTCCTCTGCACAGAGACTCTGGTATGGGTCTTCACCAGGTGGTCCGTGAATTCCTGATACGGGCTCTTGGTGAATACGGTCTCCTTCCAGAGGTCTGGAGTCAGATGGCTGTAGGTCTTGGAGATGGCATCAAACGTGGCCTTGGCAAAGTTGCCCAGGGTGGCAGTGCAGCCCCTGGCTGAGGTGTAGTAGTCGTCAATCCCAGCCGTCATCAGCAACTTCTTGGGCACTGGTGCGGACACGATGCCAGTGCCCCTGGGCGCAGGGATGAGGCGCAGCAGCACTGATCCACAGCGGCCTGCCACCTTGCAGGGGACGGTGTGGCATGTGCCAATCTTGTTCCCCCGGTAGCCTCGCCGCACGGGCACGATGGAGAGCTTGGCCAGGATGATGCCCCCCGAATGGCAGTGGCCACCTCCTTGGAGCACTTCACCCCAGACCCACGTGTCCGTTATAGTCCCCGATGGCGACGAAGGCCTGTAGTGACAAGGGGTGACTCGCACCCGCCCGATGACCCAACCACTCTGAACGGTAGCTGTCGGGCCCCCGAGGGAGAGGCGGCCACGGGGCGGCCGGCCCGGGCCTCGGGGTCCCCTTTTCATGGATTTTTAAGAAAATATGTTTATTAGATTCTTACATTAAGATAACTTTATGACACTTATTTTCATCTACCAGTCTAAGCGTAACTGAAAAACTGAAATCCCAAGGTGGAGAGAGCAGGGGGAAGACACTCGTGCATGCAGCCAACCCACTTCGCTCCACATCTGGTTCCCGAGCACCAACACAGAGTCACTCCTGCGCACAGCTGGGTGGGCCCAGGCCTCCCAACTCCTTCCCCACCAATAAATAAAATCCCATTTTACCTTCAGCTGGTTATCTGACAAAAATTTATTGTTCGAGTCTGAGAGGAAGAAAAGGGCTAAAGGCCTGCTCTGCATGCAAAATCCAATCATTCGTCACACTTGATCCCTATGCACTACTGGAAGCAAAACCCCAAGCACAGAGCCCGGAGCACCCCCTGAGCACCGAAGTGCGGACCCAAACTTCTCCCCCAATAAATGTATAAAAAGAAAAATTATTAAAAATGTTTTACTCATCAATGGCCAAGATCCAGAGACTATGAAACAAAGCTCCCGGGAGAGAGCGACACAGTTTTTCCTGAAGAGCCCGGCCTCTTGGAGAGCCTGGCAAGCTACCGAGAGTATCCCACCTGCACGGCAGAGCCTGGCAAGTTACCCGTGGCATATTCAATATGCCAAAAACAGTAACAATAACAGGCCTCACTCCGCTGACCCTGAAAGAATCTTCAATATGGCAGCACTGGGAAAGACGAGTAAGGAGAGGCTGCTAAAATCTCAGGGTTGGGACGAATGGGGACGTTACTGGCGCCCACTCAAGTAAATCGACAAACAATGGGATGACAGTGATACAGTGATTAAAAAACTGTTCATCTTCACGAAGTAAAAACAACTCTGAGGAACTGCAGATAGCAGAAGAGCACCTGCTTTGCAAGCGTGAGGTCGTGTAAACCTGGGCACTGCCCCCTGGACTGAGTACAGCTGAGGGCGCGGCCATCTGGGATTCCTGGTTCCACAAGAGTGTGCGATCCCTCAGCAACTGCAGCCAAACATACACAAGCACCATAGGGAAAGTGTGCGATCCTGGTCATCACAACAATAAGAAGGGGAGAGCGTGCAAGAGGAACAGAGAGAAAGAGCAAGTCAAGTGTCACGATCTTGTGCAGGGGTCTCCCAGGCAGAGTGAAGCCCAGGGCCCCTCCCGGGTTCTAGGCTGGCCGGGCTGGCACGTCAGTGTGATGACATGGGGAGGCGGTGCTACTCAGGCCCTGTGGCAACAGTCATGACACAGGCCCTTCAGGCAGTGCCCGGGGGGGCCCAGGGCTGCAGCCACAGAGGGCAGGGACCATGTGGGGCAGTCGTCAAAGGCAAACGCACCATAACCCCCTATTCCTCGCCCCACCCCAGGAGGAAAGCTTGACTAAAACGTCATTCTCTGAACTCTGGGCATGAGGCTGTGGGAACGCATATGGTTTCCACCTGTGAGATCCTGCGCTTTATCCCCAGTACTGAAAAAAATAGAAATAAAGTCACGGTCCCAGTCACGGTCCTCCCGTTGCTCATCGATTTGCTCAAGAGGGCCCAGTAACATCTCCATCGTGAGACTTGTTGTTACTGTATTTGGCATATCGAATACATCACAGGGAGCCTGCCAGGCTTTTCCGTGCGGGCGAGATACTCTGGGTAGTTTGCCGGGCTCTCCAAGAGGGGCGGAGGAATCGAACCCAGCTCGGCTGGGCTGGCTGTGCACAAGGCAAACGCCCTACTGCTGTGCTATCGCTCCAGCCCAGAAATAAATAAAATGTAAAATATGAAATAATTAAAATGCCATTTTGTTTTAAAGTGGAAACAGAACTATCTGGCACATACCATAAAATGCACGCTTCTACCCCAATGATAAATACAAAACTCTGGCATTTTTAGCTAAAGTAAAATAGAAGGTGGTTGAATAAGGTCAAGAAAGTTACCTTGGAAACGTAACAAAAGGAAAACTGGACGGTTCTACCTCTCCTCCTGCTGTACATTAGAGCTGAAAGCCTACACATGTAAGGTCTCCACAAGAAGGTGGACACGAAACTCACCAAACGAAGAATCCAGTGGCGGTTCAGTCCCCGGCGCTGCCACAGGCACGAGAGCAAGCCTGGCAGCCCTGCGACCTGTCACCCCCATAACACACAGCCGGAAAATGCAAGCACCCCTGCGAGCAGCACTGCAGCCACTAAGAGATGAGAAAGCATCACCACCAGGAATCTCAGCCCCAGGAAGCCCCTGAGCGAGCGAGCAAGCACCAAGCTAAAAACCGTGCGACTGCACGGGGACGGCAGCAACCACAAAGGGCACTCAGCGAAGGGCAAGAAGTGGCCACGCACAGACCACTCTAGAGGTGTGTCCTGGCACAAGTCCGAACACAGGACCGGAGCGACAGCACGAGGCTTCCCGGATGTGCCAACCAGGTTCACTCCCCAGCCCCGCACAGTCCCCAAGTGTCTCTGGATGCAGCACCATGGCGCCCCTTCACAGGAACACCCAGCCTGGCTGGCCAAGAATCACCAGGAGGGGCCCTCAGGTGTCCTGAGCACTGCTACCAAGTCCTAAGTCCTAGTTCCTCAGAATGTGATCTTCTTTGGAGACAGACTCGGTAAGAGGTAAGACGAGTCTGAACTGCTGTCTTCTAAGAGGAGATTCGGACCCAGACCCAGAGGGCAACGTGTGAGGGAGAAGACGGTCACCTGCACGTGGCCAAGCCCAGTCGGAGCCCGAGCACTGCCAGGAATGCTTAGAAAGATGCTGAAAGGCTATTTTAGTGCCTTTCCCCCGCATTTAAATCTCGTACTCGAAAGTCTCTGCAAGACGCGCTCGGCTGCCCTACTTTCCACAGTGGTGTAAGTGTTTGTCAAGGGCCAATCCTGAGCACTGGGCTGGCACTGGGACAGGAGGGCAGGCGACTAGACCGGGTTCGCCGTGCCAGATTCCAGTCCCGCGAGGGGATATGAAGCTACTCTAGTGTATCTGCGTAAACAGTAGGAGCGCACTGGAGCATCAACAGGGATGCTGAGTACTCTGCGAGCTGAGCCAAGGAGGGTAAGAGGTACGAAGGAGAAACAGTTAACCAAGCAGACGGTCAGGGTTGCACGGCATGGCAAGCACCACTTCTGTGAAGTCTGTGCCCCAAGAGGTGAGTTCTCAGTGCTGCTGAGGTGGAATTGTGGCGGTGGCCTCAGATGGACTTTGGGATAAGGTGACACCAACTGATGCACTCACATAAAGAGACTGGCATTTTTAAAACTAAGGTGTACGACTGATCACCCCGAGTGCCCTCAGACTCTTCCCTGTGGGCCCATCTATGGCCAAGCTGCGGTATGTGCTCCAGGTGGCCGGTCTCTTCTCTCCGCCCTTCCTGCACAGATGCAGACACTGCAGGCTCCCGGCAAGCCCGGCTCCACCCTGCACCCCTGTTTAGATACCCTCTCTGAGCCTATCAAAATTCAACCCTTCCTTTACAGTCCAAATGTTCTTTTGCAAAATTACCTATATTCAGTCATATCATACACACTTCTATTACTGACATTGATCTCTCTGCCCAGCTAGTTAAGAAAGTCCTACAATGTAAGAAATAGTATTTTATTTCCTCTGCCCCTCTCGAGAGCCCAGCAAGCTACCGAGAGTATCTTGCCAGCACGGCAAAGCCTGGCAAGCTACCCGTGACATATTCAATGTGCCAAACACAGTAACAACAAGTCTCACGATGGAGATGTTACTGGGCCCGCTTGAGCAAATTGATGAACAACAGGAGGACAGTGCTACAATATATATTCTATGTATGGCCTGATATGTAAGGGTTTTGTACATAGAAAAGCACGATCATGTTTCTGTCTTCATGAAGTTATCAGAAAGGTGGAAAAGAGGTATCGCATAACACATATCAAACAAAATACAGTAATGTCTGAGGATGGAAAATCCTCAACTTGTTAATGATGATAGATTTAACAGCAGGAATCATTATTTCAGATGGCTACAGTAAGGGTCAATTGACATAACACGCCACATTCTACAAAGAGCATTGATAAAATCCTGTTCTTGTGTAATGTAACTTTTAATTACTCAATCCTCACTGCAGAGCTAATTAAGGCCCAGAATCACCACTTTGCATTTGGTAAACATGCAACTGTACGCACTTGGAAAGAGCAACAGAGCCGAATACTTACCATTTCCCCTCCACACTTCCGCTAAATGGCAACCGCCTTCTCCAGGTTCCTTGCAGAATTCCACAACATCTCGACATGTTGTTTCTGGTGTTATAGGAACTTCCGTTAAAATCTGCTCATTGTTGCTCAAGAACACGGTTAAAATCATCTGTAAAAGAGAAGTTTCGAATAGGGTCATGACCAAAAAAAGACTGATCTGCATATTTAAAGTGCTGATTTCACCTCCCCATTCCTTCACCTGTGGCCAAAATACCTACAAGATTAATTTTCAGAGGCTGGAGCAATAGTACAGTGGGCAGACATCCCTTATGGTTCCCCAAACACCACCAGGAGTAATTGCCAGGAGTAACCACTGAGCATGGCAGGGTATGGGTCCCCCCAACAGAAAAAAAATATTAATTTTTAGAACTAGATAAGCTTACTCTGAAGGATAGGCAGAAAAAATAGATGTATGATAAGACAGGAAAATTCGGAAAAACTATTTCTGGAGTCTTTCCTGGAGGAAAGACTATTAGAAAAGAAAAAGAAAAAGTCTTTCCTGGAGGAAATTCTATTAGGAAAGAACACTACAAGATAGTATAAAACCTCAAAACAACATGGCACTAGATGTTCAACGGGACAAATTCTGATGTCCCGAACAGAAAACAGCAAACAACAGAGGAGGTAACTCAAAACTGAGAGAAAAGACTAGCCAATGAACAAGGTTGGAGGAATCAAAATGCCCAACTAGACAGAAAAAACAATCAAACTGCATACAGACTGTACATCATATCCAAGTGTGAGTTGCCACCAGAGCAAATACTTAAATATAAATCTTTTAAAAATATTTACTTTTATAAAGTTGTTCATGATTTATTCCATTTAATATTCCAACACCATCCCCATCACCACTGCACCTTCCTACCACCATTATTTCCAATTTTCCCAACTACCCCTCAAGCCTGTCCCTACAGCAGGCCCCGAATAATTCATTTCATATTGCTTGTTATTATTCACTAAAGATGATCCAAAAATATTTTAGAAGAAAGTGTGTGAGTATTGTTGCATCTCACCATGCATTAAATCCTTGTAGAATAGATTACTAACATGTTACAGGCTAAGCCTATAAATATAAATCTAAATGTATAAAATTCCGAAATTAAAACTGGGTTAAGTTCCTTTTTATAATCCTGAAGTACAGAAGCATTTTCCAACTCTAATTAAGAGTTACAAAATTTTACAAATTTAAAACAAATAGGTGAAATATTTGCAATTCATATTATAATAAAAGGCTATTACTAGGGATCAATATATCAAGCGGTCCTAAAAATTTAATAAAAAGTCCAAAAAGCTAATTTATTTTGTAATACTACCCAAGAAAATGAGTACTGCAGTATAAGAAAATACAAATGTCTCTTAAACATAAAAATGCATTATACTTTGCAAAAATTTAACAAATTGTCCAGCATTATTCAGTCTTTATTTTTTGCGGGGGAAGGAAGGTAACAGGAGTGTACACCCAGCAGAACTCAGGGGTGACTCCTAATTTAGTGCTCAGGGTCACACCAGGTGGTGCCGGAGATCCAGAGTTGTCCCTGCGAAGTGCCTTATCCTCAATACTAGCCCGCCCCAACTGTAGTTTTTTTTTTGTAATTCTACTAACTTAGGGGGCTGGAGCGAGAGCACAGTGGGTAGGGCATTTGCCCTGCACGTGGCCGACCCGGGTTCGATTCCCAGCATCCCATATGGTCCCCCGAGCACTGCCAGGAGTAATACCTGAGTACAGACCCAGAAGTATCCCCTGAGCATCGCTGGGTGTGACCCCCCCAAAAAATTCTACTAACTTAAAAAAATTCTACTTATTACCTTTTTGGGTACTTTTTGTAGATTCTGGATCTGAGTCCATACCCAAGATTGCAGAAAATCCTGGCTCTGCACTCCAAGACCACTCCTGGAGGTGCTCCAAGACCTTATGGGGAACTGGGGATTGAACCCGAGTCAGCCACCTGCAAGGCAAGTTCTGTACTATCTCTCCGACCATCCTAACTACCTTGATCTAAGATCTGAAGAGATCATATTTAATGGAACTAAACAACTCAAATTACAAATTAACTCAAAATTTTCTTTTATTTTGGGGTGGGGAAGGAGAAGAATTTGGGCCACACCCAGCAACGCTCAGGGGTCACTTCAGGCGCTGCACTCAGAAATTACTCTTGGTAGTTCTCAGGGGACATATGGAATGTGATATAAGGTATTAAACTTGGGTTGGCCATATGCAAGGCAAGTGCCCTATCTGCTGTATTATCTCTCTAGTCTCTAAATCAAAGACTTTCAGAATTATAAAATATTTAGGGCTGGAGTGATAGCACAGCAGGTAGGGCGTTTGCCTTGCACACGGCCGACCCGGGTTTGATTCCAGCATCCCATATGGTCCCCTGAGTACTGCCAGGGGTAATTCCTGAGTGCAGAGCCAGGAGTAACCCCTGTGCATCGCCGGGTGTGACCCCAAAAGGCAAAAAAAAAAATTCATTGATCAAAGTCAGAAAATTTACACTTAAAAATTCTTATTTGAGGGACTGGACCTTGCATGAGGTTGACCTGGGTTCAATCCCCAGCATCCCATGTGGTCCCCCGAGCATTGCCAGGAGTAATTTCTGAGTGCAGAGCCAGGAGTTAACCACTGAATATCTCCGATTGTGACCCAAAAAGACAAAGATAAATAAAAATAAATAAAAAATTCTTACTTGAAATTTTTGTTGCCATCTAAGTTTTTAGTTTATGTTAAAATATTTGATGGGGGAGCCAGAGCAACAGTACAGCAGGCAGGGTGTTTGCTTAGCACATAATGACCCGGGTTCGATCCCTTGCACCCCATATATTTCCCCAAGCCTGCCAGGGTGATCCCTGAGCACAAAGCCAAGAATAAACCCTGAGCACTATCGAGTGTGGCGCCAAACCAAAACAAAAAATTAAAAACTAGTGAAGAAGCTGGAGAGATGGTGCAACAGGTAGAGTGTTTGCCTGGCACAATGGTCAACCCACGTTTGAACCCCGGCACCCCATATAGTGCCCTGAGCCCCGCCAGGAGTATCTGCTTTGGGGCCCACCACTAGTAAGCCCTGAGCACTGCCAGATGTGGCCCACAAACCAATCTATCTACGCACGCATACACACAGAGAGGTCTGTTTGTGTGTGTGTGTGGGGGGGGGGGAGTTAGGACACACCCAGCAGTGCTCCAGGCTTATTCCTGGCTCTGGGTTCAGGGGTCATTCCTGGTGGGACTCAGGGCACTGGGGATCAAAGCCAGGTCAGGCACCTACAAGGCAAATGCCTTGTCTATAGTGTTATACCTCTCCAGCCCCCAAATATCCTTTGTCCCTTCAAGTGCCCTAAATTCTGTTTTCGTTCTTTTGGTCGCCCCCAAGTGCTGCTCTGGTGGTCTGAAAGTCCTTCCGAACAACTCAGATGACTGAACCTGGGTGCAGCGAAAAGGTTGGGGGAGGTGGTGCTTCTAACTCTGGGTGCACCTGGAGAAGCTCAAGGGACCAGGCGAGGCTGGGAATCAAAGCAGGGTCGGCAACACGCAAAGCACGCACCCTAACTCCCTGACTAGCCCCTGGGCCTAAATGATCGATCTGGGGGGTAAGCATTTGAAATGGGTGGCCAGGTTTTATGTAACCAAGACAGTTCTGTCTGAACTGACTTTCTCACCACCAATTTCTCCTCACTCCAACACACTCCACTCCACAGAGATTCTTTCACATTTTTTGGTGGCCGGGGGCAAGGAGTTCCAAACAGTGCTCAGGGTGCCTGGGGGCCACTCCCCGGGATTCCTGATTCAATATTAATGTGTTGCTGCTTGAGCCCTGCAGTGCCAGGAGTGCCTTCAGGCCACACCCAGTGTAGCTCTGAGGCCTGCAGGCCGATGTCAGGCAATGCATACAGGGTGACGGGGCACTGTCAAGGCATGCACCTTATCCCTTATACTATTTCTTTTTAAAACACTTTATTATAATACCGTGGATTTGTCTCACAATGGGTTAGAACGATAGCACAGCAGGCAGGGCATTTGCCTTGCACGTGGCCGACCCGGGTTCAACTCCTCCGCCCCTCTCAGAGAGCCCGGCAAGCTACCGAGAGTATCTCGCCCGCACGGCAAAGCCTGGCAAGCTACCCGTGATGTACTCAATATGACAAACATAGTAACAAGTGTCACAATGGAGACGTTACTGGGCCTGTTCAAGCAAACTGATGAACAACGGGAGGACAGGGACAGGGGATTTGCCAAGTCGTTCCTAACAGCTGTTCCAGGTATTAAATGTACCGATATCAGCCCACCACCAGTGTGCCCATTCCTCCACCAATGTCCGCAATTTCTCATCCACTACCCTAGTCTGCCCCCTTGCAGGCACAAATAAATTTATTTCATATTGTTTGTTACAACCATGGAATTATCAAAAACAGATCAATGAGCCAATCTGTGACAACTGTTCTATCTCGCGTTGATGTTACTGAAGCCTGAGGATCTGTGTGGGCTGGTCTGAGCCTCGCTGAGCTGGGTGGTCTCTGCGCAGCTTTCCCAGCAGGTGGAAACCTGGAGTGAGGTGGCCGCGCAGTCAGGGCCTCTGGATCTGGAGCAATTTGGTGACGTGGAGTTTAACAGCTCCGTCGCGGAGCAGGGCCTCTACGCCAGAGGGTGCTGGCTGTGGCTGCTGGGCCTCCAGGCAGGAAGGGACGTCTTCACCCCATTCCAAGAAGGCCCCAGGGTTCTCGACCCAGACCAGTCCACCAGGGAGGATTCGGCGGAACCGTGTTCCTTTGGCGACATGGTGCTGGGCCTTCTCTGCTGGCATGATGGCAGGCAGGGGACGAGTGCATATACCATTTCCAATGCCAAGAGTTCACGCTCTAAATGAGGTTGGGCTGGGAATGTAGCTCAGTGGCAGAGCACCTGCCTTCCAAGCGTGCGGCCCTGGGTTCAATCTGGCCACCACAGGGTCCCTGGAAGACCTCTGGAGTCAATCCTGAGCAAAGAGCCAGGAGCAGTCCCCGGCGCAGCAGGATGGCCTCAGATCCGAACAACTCAACAGAAAAGAAAATGAAGTGAAGTCACTCCCTGCTGAAACTGTTCAGGAGCGCCACACTGCTCCAGCCGCCCTCCCCACAACA